ATGGATATGGGGGAGATATTGGTGATGGTTTTGTCATCAAAGGGCATGCAACAAGAAGAAGATCAAAATGAATGCATGCAACTATCAGAAAATTTTAGCACCCTGCATTCGACCTGCGTACAGATATGAATTGCTACTCAAAAATTTTGACGAGGCTACGAAATCAAGTTGCAGCTTCTACCATAGTTTGTGTCCTAAAATCGACTAGAGCTGTCCCATTGAAAGGTCAATAGTACGTGTTATTAAACCTAATGTTTAGTAACACTAAATTGACAACTCTAGGCATAGATGTCAAAAACTTATACATTTATGCTTATGAAGATTGTTTTATATGATGATGGGAAGTATAGGGCTAGTTTTTTAGAGGTGTTCTTGAAGAGGCCATAAACAAACCTTTTCCCTGGACCTACAAGATTGGAAGATCAATGAAATACTTGTATTCAATTAAGATAAGTTTAATAGTACTGTATTGATTTGTATATCTGAAATCATGCAGGTATATCTAAAACCAAGATTTTGTGCATTTGACAAATATGATAGCATCAAATTGTTTACTGTTTATTACATTATGAATGTTCGTGGCTTTGCCTTTACATGGGGATTTCAGCAAAGAAGTTATCATTTGATATACATTTGGGTATTTAGTGATATTCAAAAGTCTTGACAAGATTAAGAAACCAAGCTGCAGGCCCCGACATGATTTGTGGTCTAAAATCAACAACGAATACTCCATTGAAAGGCAGAGGGTATGTATTACTAAATCTTTATGAAAGAATACAATATATGAGAAGTTTCATGTAATTTATTACTTTATAAATAACTATAGTATAATTCATGTGGACTATGTCAATAATGATTTCGAGAAATTGATATCAAAGACGGAACTCTCAACCAATGTGTTTTTATTTACACTACTTGTATTTTTTTCCCTTCTAATAATTATATACTTCGCATAATTTTTATTATTTAGTGTTTTATTTCACATGACCATTCATTTAACTTTCAAAGTGGATTGTTGTACTAGTGGTTATAAAAATGAGTTTATAAATGATTGTAGCAAATGACTTTGTTAGTATAAATCAGAAGAAACATTAAACTTGGAATTTCATGCTTCTTTTCTCATTCCTACAATCTCTAATTAGAATATTGTGTGATAAGAACATGCTTCTTATACTTAAACTCACGAATTGGTTTAATGAGTTTCCAAAAGGTCGAGTTTTTCACAAGCCTGTCATTGTTTCAGATCATGCCGTCATCCTTTACAATACGGATCCTACGACCCTAAAATCAAATAGACCTTACTAATTAACTTGAAAGTTAGTGTTTGAATAATCCGGAAATTAAAAGTTTTGCTTCGGAAATATGACATGTTGAAGTGAGGGGTTTGGGCATGCTTATGCTAGCCAAGCATTTGAAGGGATTTAGAAATAAAGCAAAAAATGGTGCTTGGACAAAAAACGGACATGGGGGTCAATTGGCGCCAAGTCCCATCAAAGCTGCTACACCAAGAAGATGATGTAGCCTCGGTGTTGGATGGGTTAATTTCGTTACCTCGGTGAATAGGTTGGTTCCTTAGTGCAAGGTTGATTTTTTGTATTGGCAGCAACGACTTAATGATAGGTGGGTGAAGTTTGGTGACATGCCTACTTCCATGATGTTCAACCAAGTCAAGCAACGGAAGAAGAGAAGGGAAATTGTTACTTTATGTAACGATACAGACGATTGGAATACAGGGAAAGATAATATTGCTTTTCTAATCCAACAAAACATAGAAAAGGTGTTTAGCCCCAACCTGGAACTCTCAAATGATCCGGAAAATAGTGCATGGTTGATTCTTAGAGAGCTTAACCTATCACGGTTGGATACGGAGATGGTTTCCGACTTGGTTAGACCTTTCCTCCCTACCAAGTTAGAGAAGCGGTTTTAATTTCTCAATCCATAACTTGAAATCTCTGGAGCCAGATGGGATTATTGCGGAATTTTTTCATGTTCATTGGAATATTACTGGGAGTACGGTTATAAAAGTGGTGCAACACTTGTTTCAATCTGGTTTTCTTCTAAAGGAGCTTAATGATTCTCTTCTTGTGATGATCCTGACGGTGGATTACCCAGAGGTGGCATCTCACTTTCTCCCTATAAGCCTTTGTTACACTATTTAAAAATGCATTGCAAAGTGTCTGGTCAATAAGGTGAAGATGACCCTTCCGATTCTTATTACAGATGGAGTATTAACACGCTTTCATACCGGAGAGGTACATCGAGGATAACATCCTTTTAAGCCATGAGCTGGTTCATCATGTTAATGCCTGTAAAACCAAGACACCCATGGCAATCCTCAATTTAGATATGTCAAAGGTGTATGACCTTTGGACTTTCTTCTCCAAGTCCTAACTGCTTATGGTTTCCCTACAATTTAGGTTCAATGGGTGTCTCAATGCATCTCCATTATGTCGTAAAAAAACCTCATTATTAATGGTAGGGTCTCTAACTCGTTTACCCCTTCACGTGGGCTATGACAAGGGGATCCTTTATCTCCATACATGTTCCTGTTTTGTATGGATGTTTTGTCTAGAATGCTTTTACTGGTTGAAGAGATTAAGTTAATCAAAGGAGTGTGGGTCTCGCAAAGAGCACCGCCCATTTCTCATATGTCAGAACATTGTTACAGTCCTATAACGGTTTGAAAGGGTGCCTTTTGTGAAGTTCAGCCCGACTATCCTTGAACCTGAGAAAGCATTGCTAAAGGGCATTCTACGGATACCTACGGTGAACAATCTGGAACACCATCTCGGGGCTCCTATTTATATTAAAGTTAAGAAGAGTGATATCTTTCGTTTTCTAGTGGATAAGGTAGCCTTGAAAAAAACTAGTTGGAGCAACCTAAGGCTATCTCAGGCAGCAAAGTTGATCCTTATTAATACAGTTCTAATAAGGATCTCGTCTCATGTGATGAAATGCTTCAAATTGCCTATTTTGATCACCAAATCAATCGATTCCCTTATTGCTCGCTTCTTCTAGGCTTCAAAGAGGGTCAAGGGGGTGCATTGGGTCAACAAGGAGACCTTTCATTTTCCCAAGGGCATAGGAGGTTTGGGGGTTAGGTCTATGGGGGTGTCGAATGATGCCCTTCTCTTTAAGAAAACCTTCAAGATGCACTGCAACCCACAGCTCCTGATGTTAGGGGTTTTCAATTCGGAGAATGAGACATATATTGCATTTTCCCAAGTGCATAGGAGGTTTGGGGGTCAGGTCTATGGGGGCATTGAATGATGCTCTTCTCTTTAAGCAAACCTTCAAGATGCACTACAACCCCAGCTCCTAGTGTTAGGGTTTTCAATTCGGAGGGTAGTTTCTCTTTATGTATTAGGAAGGTGTCTCACAGGGAGGCCTTCATGGGGAAGGAGAGGCCTCCACCAATCTTCTACTAGTTTCATGAGTGGGATCGGCTGGGAGGTTGGCTCAGGTGATAGGATCAAATCGACAGGGATGTTAAGGGTTAATGGCAAAATCCCCATTGTAAAATCTGATCAGCCCTTGCGAGGAGTGGGCAGTGGGTTGGTGAAGGATAGATCTAATGGTGAATTGCTCTTGGAATGTTGGGTTGGTTAGAAAAAAAAATTAAGTGGGGAAATGCCAGAGAAATCCTGTATATTGAACTCCTGGAATAGAAAAAAGATGATTTTTTGTATTGGTTGCATCATAAATATGGGAGGTTCACTCTCAAGTCGGGTATGCTTTTCTTATCCAAAAGGTTTGGGACTCTCCGTTGCTTCCTAATAGTTGGGAGTTTTTTAAAGTGCTATGGCAGCTTAATATCCCCCCTAAATGGAGCCTTTTGTTGTGGAAACTAGTTATGAATGGGCTTGCGATTAAAGCCAAATTGCATCATAGAGGAATTAATGTTGATTCAATCTGTAATTACTGTGAGGGCGACGACGCGAGGAGAATGTGCAGCATCTCTTTCGGCTTTGCCCTTTAGCTCAACATGCTTGGAGTACGTGCTTTCTGCGCCTACAATCAGAATTTGATGAATCTATTCCACTGCGATAATGGATTCATACCTATATCCTACTGTTTTATAGTGAGGATGAATTACATAATGATAGGATGGGAGACTTTTTCATTGTCCTATGGAGTATTTGGGTTACTAGGAACTCTCGAGTATTTAAGGACGAAGGAGAGTCTCTAACTCATTTTCACGCAACAATGGTTGTAATGGAGATGGAGCTTTGGGATAAGCAAGTTGTTATCTATGCTCTCAGGTACCCAGCTTCAAGGAAATCCCCCAGGTTTCCTTCACTGTTCAATAGGACAGCTTGCTTTCCACTCTGCTAGGCCACCGAACGAGGGGATGGGAATGACTGTGTTGATTGATGGCTCTTGCCAAAAGCACACGGGTAATGCGGGTGTAGGGTGGGTTGCCTCCATGGATGGGGTGGCTTTCCATGAAGGTGGAGGTTCCTTTTGCAGGTCAATTTCAGCTCGACATGCGGAGGCCCTTGCTCTTCTCTATACGCTTAAATAGGCCCTTACTTTTTGTACTAACGTTGTCATTTACAGACTCTTGTGAACTGGTGAATATACTCAGCAACGGGGTGTCCAACCACATTAGCATTCACTGGACCATGGAAGGTATTTGGAAATGGGGGATTAAATTTGAGAAGTATGTCATTTGGAAAGTAGACAGGAATCGTGTTCACCTAGCACATGTTAGCTTATAGTTGCAGAAGTTGTTTGTCTAGCTTTGTAACGTAGTTTGATTCCTTTTTTAATGATGTCAAAAAGAAAGATAAAGAAAGTGTAGTTGTAAAGAAAACCGTAAAGTAAGAATGTCACAAAAGCGTCTTCATCCTTTCTTTTATTACACTTAGTAATTGTACAACAATCTACAATCTAATTTGTAAAAAAATAATTAGTTGTTGATTATTTGAATACTAATTTTCTAAATTCAATACCAATCAAACATGAATTTTATAAAAAGGAACTGAGGTACTTTTGGCAAAAAAAAAAAATCCAAAAATAGGAAGAGGTGCCAAAAAGGGTTAAAAGATGGAAAAAAACATAAATCTAACAAAAGTCCTTATTTGGAGATTAATGGCAACTCGGCAAGGATACAATGGATTATTGAACTATTCTAATATTCTTGAGGGCTACCAAGTGTAATATACATATTAGAAAATTGCGGAAACAACATTGAAAAGCTGCTTCTACAAGGACACTACGTAGAAAATCCTTTATTAGTGTACAGGGCGTGTTCGGCGCTAGCTTTTGGGTAGGTTTTAGTGGTTTGCATGCCCAACACTCATTTTTAAAATTGTTCACCCACTTAGCTTGTTGCTTCGTTGACAGTCAGAGGTGGAACCGTGTTTAGAACAAGGGAAGTAGCCGATGTCGTCAATGTGCATGAGAAGGTCTGATGCTGGCAGTGGCGGATCTATATGAGTGCATGGTGAGTCACGTGACTTAGCAGTGAGAAAAAAATAAGTTCAATAAAAAAAAAAAGGAAACGTATGAATTAAGCGAACAACCAAACCATAATTATTTTGGTGAATTTTCAAAGGAAAGACTCACTTTTATACAAAAGGAAAGAAAAAATATAGAAATGGTGAAAAACTCCATTAAAATTGATGATTAAGTTCTTAGATCTGGTCATCTAGACTAAAAGAAGAGAGAGAAAGTGTATTGTGGGACAGCTATAAAGAAAAAGTCAGTAAGTCACGTGTAAATATCGAGGTAATGAGTTTAGTTATCCTAATATATTAATGTGGGACAACGGTGGGCCAGAGGTTATGACAAGTGGGTTTTTTTGTCAATGGATATATAAGCCATGAACAAGCTTTGGTGAGTTTACGTATGGTTTTGGTTTGAAGTCATAAATAATACAAAGTACTTCGTATTTATTTAATTTAAAACTCAAATACAAATTAATTTTAAACCCTAAATTATAATACTTAGATTAATAAGTTTTAATAAAATTCTACCGCTACAATCGCGACCGGTCCGCGACCAACACTACCGTGACACCACAACTTACCTCATTTTTATACTATGCTCCAAATAGAATGCTTATATATATATGTATGAATTTCCCTGAGTTGTAACTGGTAAGCCAATATATAAGTTGTAACTGGTAAGCCAATATTTGTTCTAGAAACAATTATGGTCATGGCATTTGTTTTATTGAAATCGAAAATTTGCATTATAACGTTGACATGGTTCATTGAGTTCTAAGCTGTAATGCTTTAGGAGTTCAAACATCACCTATAAATTATGATTGTTTGAAGTCATCACTTACGCTGAGTAAACATATGGAATATGAGGTTTGTAGCAAAGTTGTGACTCAATATAATACGAAGTAATTACCAGACTGATGCTACATACCCTGGTACATCAAGAGTTCACTCTAACATAGAATCAAGCCAATCAATTGCAAATTACTACATTAAATGCTCAAAGATTCATATAAAGAGCTTACATCCATAAAACCAGCCAACACAACAATAGCAACTAGTATCACTCAGCAGATATATGCTTCAATACAGCATCTGTAGACTTCTTTGCGAAATACTTCTGCCTAAACTGTACATAAGGATAACCCATAAAGGAAAGGAAATGTGCAGGTTTTGAAAAGGAAAGTATTTCATACCACACTTGATTCTTGTCATCCAGCTCTACTGAAAAGCGTTCTTCCCCGGCCTGTGTGTGCAAACATCAAGAACTTTGGTGAAATAGGCTACTTTAGAATCCCTATGATAAAATATTCATCACTACAAAATGCAAATTCAACAGCTGTCCTCTCACATATTGTGAATAACATTCCCTAGCCATCCTGGTTGGCATTCACAATTCGGGGATTATGAAAGAGAAGGAACCTTTGAGTATTCAGACAAAAAGACATCACTTATACCCAGGTTATCAAGCTAAACAATTAGCTCACCCAAGAATTTAACTATGTCAGAACACCCCTTTAGAAAGAATTCAAAGCTCCTACATGAAAAATCATGAGCCCCTGACGTTCTCTGACCTGAACATGTTTTAATCTGTCACCTCCGCAGCTCCACCACATATTTCTCAACTGGGATGGGAGGGGTGTGAAGGACCAGAAATGATCAATGGGTTTGAGATTTCTTCTGGAGCTCTAATTCTACAGGCTAGAATGTGGCAGAATATCTAGTTTTCACATTGGATTAGAGTGTGCAGGGAGAAAGCATCCATATTCACTGATTCAAGAGTGGCTATTTCAGGTGTCTCAGTTACCCAATATTAGAGACCTGTCCATTTGGTTAAGCTAGCAAAGGAAAATAAGATGGTGAACAGTTTGGAAGTGAACCCCTTCACAATTTATTGTAAGTCAAATTCTGATATTTTTATGTATCTCATATTTTCTGAAATGGTTTATCCTGAACCTATGTGCCTAGCAAACCTTAGCACGACTTGATTTGTGGTAATCTAATGTTATCCCTCTAAGCTTTAACCTATAAAAAGGCCACAAAAAATTTTGTGCAGTTTTTAGATCTTGCCAAGGAAAGAAGACTCAGTGAGACCCAGATGAGTGAGCGACCAAGTAATTACCTTATCCTAACTTAGAAACCAATAAACTGCAATTTGGTCTACAAACCTATGTTCTATATATTGTTATTATCCTTCAATATCAACAATACTTGACCAAACTAGTAGTTTTACAGCAATAAGGAAATCCACAGCCAACATTCTGGAACTTCCTAAACATATAGCATGTGACGCAATTCTGGATATACAGATCTGATGTCTCACAAATATTTAATTCATTCAAAGGGTCCAAACTTGGTTCTTCAAACCTTAATATTCAAGTATTTGAACACATTATTGCCATTGTAACATGATAGGAGGAGGGTTGAAGGAAGGGGATTGTGGGGAAAAGGAGAAAAATAGTACACAATTCAATCACATACCCACTAGAGTAGAGCAAAGTTATTACAAAATTCAATCATGTATGAAATACCACAAAATCAGAACAAAGGTATAGAAGAGCAGTGAAGAAGGAAAAGATACTGACCAACAGGTGACCTTGAAGGGTGCCACTACCAAAGCTGAAGGAGGCTTTCATTTTCCCAGAACGCTTGTTTTCATTCACATACACCACCTGAAGAGGCATCATCAACCATGGAAGGAACTCCTTGACACAAACACAAAATTTTACCCCACTTTTGATCGGAGTTGTAGGTTCAACAAATGTCCAGTTCATTTGGAAATGCCTGTATATACATGACGATCAGGGAAATCAATCAATTAAAGATAGGGCTCTTATATTCACACTATCTTAATCTTAGTACAGAACGAAACTACCTCCAATTCTGAAGTGCATTCTTTCCTTTCTCATACGTCTCTTGACCAGAACCAATTAGAACGCGAGCATGATTTAATAAAAAACCCTCTTCTGATAACTGATCATCTTTCTGCAGTGAAGATATTGATCTATCAGTAGCTCCTATGCGTTTAAGATCATAATTGAATGAATCAGTCCTGCAAATAACATAAAAGAAACAAAAAGAAATCACCTTGAGAAACAAACGAAAGTTAACAAAGGCATAAAACAGAAATTAAAACCTTGATTTACTTTTCCAAGCAAGCCTTTTGATCTTTCAATGACGGACGATTCCAACATAGGAAAACCATTCTTTCCTGTCAAAAGCATTTGATGTTTCTTAGATTTAAGGAGTCTGCTCAAACTATAATCAAAGAAAAAAACTTGTTCGCCAATATAGAATAAGATGAATGTATAAACACGAAAGTAAAAAAAAAAATCACCCCATTATCATTAAAAATAACCCAAATCATTGATAAAAATCACCCATATCTTCATTCTCTTGAATGAAATTTTCCATATTTATAAAGTACATTCATCAACTAAAAACTAATTCCTCCATTTCTTAATACATGCAACATCATATTTCATTGGATTTAAGAATATTTCATAATACAAGTATCATTTCCTTCGACGAAAGGGCAACTTTGTTAGAAGTTGTGAAATTTCATTTCTCTCCGCTCAATTGGTGTTTACATACATAAAGAAATGATTCGAATTTTCTACAATATATCAAACAGTTGGTGTGCAATACTCATCATTTGACAATTCAACAACAGCCCCAAATAAAGGGAAAACAAATGCAATCTTATTCAAAAAAAAAAAAAAACAAATGCAATCTTTATGCAAATCAATTATCCTAGTTACCAATAAATGAACAATACTTCATAATAAAATAATAAAAATGCTATAATGTTAAGAATTGATGCAAATTTTAGAGTAAAGATATATGCAATAAGATTCAAACCAAAGAAAATTGAAGAAATTCAGAAAGAGTTTTACTTTTACCTAACTTAAGTGGCAACACTGATGAGTGGTTTGTGGAAGTAGTGATAAATTAAGAGAGAACAAATCATTTGATTTTTCTTTCAAGACCAACAAAATGCACGAGCACATGAATTAAGGAAGCGTACATTTATCGGAAACAAATTTTGATCCAATTTGCTAAAATAATTCGGTAAAATTAATTTCAATTCAATAAAAATAATTTCAGTTTAGCAAAATAAAGTGAAATCAACGGGGTTTTACTCCGTATTAGCGGTGCTTTATAAATCTCTATAAGACGGACTTTAATTAATTTTATTAAGACAATCAACATGAAAGTAATTTTAACAAAATTTAAGTAACTTTAATTTGTATTTCATGTAAAGTTTGATTGCACAATGTGTGTTTAAATGGAGATACATTTTAAAGTGATTAAAGTAAAATATATATTTAGTGCGTTTATTGCCAGAATGCCAGCTAGCCAATTCATGTGGTTGCTTGTAAATAAAAAAAGTGACCTTTATAATACTGACAAAGTAACATTATACAGATAGATTAACATCTTATTAAATTTATTGAATGACTCTTAAATTACAAAGTAACCCTTACAAACACCACTAATAAAGTAGCCTCTATATTACTAACTTAGTTAACCTTACAATCCTAACAGAGTAACCCAACACTAACCGAGTGATCCGTGGTGGTTGGCCATACTGGATAAATAAAGCCTTAATCGTTTTTCTTTTTTTTTTTTTCTTTTTTTTTTTTTGTTTAGAATTCCCTTGCAAGTTGGGGGGAAATAAAAGATCCAACTTGCTCGGGGTGAGAATCGAACCCCTCTCACAGGGGTGGAAGGAGGGCCTCTAACTATTAGGCCAACCTTGATTCTCAAACCTTAGTTCCTTCATTGTTTTACTATCTACAAAAAAATGAACAATATACAATAACGAGTTGCAATTTATCATAAACAAAGAATAAAGAAAAGTGTTGCACTTGATTTGAATTGGAGGGCATAAAAACATCTAAAAACTGATTTGACCCAATAATTTTTGTACCAGTAACAAATAAAAAGTCAAGACATCAAACAAATAAGCCATTACAAACAATCTATCAAATTAGCCAACATCCAATTGCCAACCAAGGCCACTGTCTCCATACCCCCCCCCCCCCCCCAAATCACCTACCTTCTCTATTCATGTATTTCAACTATATGACCCTTTAATAAGAGGCTATCGTACAGGTATTAACATACCAGATTACTAGTAAACATACATGGAAAAACAGTATGTAGCTAAACTAGGTGCAAAAACTAATGTCATCGCTTCAAAGTCAAATTCTTGATGTCATCTAACTCCGAGGAAGTTCTGAAAACAGCATGAGATCCATAATCTGCAGAATAGATGAATAACATCAGAGACAACATTCCAAGTTATTTTACACTATAGCATGATGATAAAAGAGTCGAGACGCACCTAAAAATCTGGACAGTTGAGCTCCTAATCACATTTAAATCTTTGTTATACCAACTCTACAACTTGCAAGTGTTACTTGAAATTTTGAGTGAACAAAAAAAAAAAAAAAAAAAAAAAAAAAAAAAAAAAAAAAACCGTTCTGCATGCAGAGAAGTGTAACCATCATTAGATTAAAGATAAAACATACTGTAAGAAGCTCTGATTGGAATTGTTACTATATGGATAATGTGTCAATCACCTATTGTAAAATTAACGAAGCTCGTCGTGGTAGTCATAATCGTCTTCATCACTGAAAATAGTACTATAGAAAACATATGGATTATCAATCATCTCTTCCAGTGAAAGCCGTCCATCTTTATCTGTATCAGCCTGAGATACATGGAGCAGGGATATTAGAACTACCAAAGACATATAGGAGGGGAAGAGGGAAAAAAAAATAAAAGACTACTAGGCTGACTTGCAGAAATCAGCAGAAGAATACTCTCCACCACAACTCCTTCCAAAAAGGAGAAAAATGAGCTAGCTTAAAAAAAATCGCGGATGGTAGCAAGACCAACAGCCAACAGAGATATTAACAAACATGGTGTAGATTGTGTTTACCAACAGCCATGATTATAGAAATTACAGACAATCCAGCACTACAAAAGGAATGGCTTAGTCCAATTTCTTTGATGGCAGGGAGATGTTTTCCAACTTTCAACGACTTACAGCCTACCATTTGTTCATGTAGATTCACAATTTATCAATAACCAATAACTCATTCTTGCCTATTCAATTCTCCCTTCTTTTCTATTGTGTCCCTCTGCTTATCAATTTTCTATCCTTTCTTCTCATCTTCAGCCCAACTACGTATATCTAGGGACTAGGACTAGCATTTGAAATACACTAACCCAGAAATTTGGGGTGACACCACCAAGAAACAGCATATAAATGTTAGAAATTTGAATTCTCAGATAGGCCAAAGGTCACAAAAATTTCTATCCTCCCTCAAAATTTTTTTCGTTGTTAAAGCTTTTCTACTCTTTGTTTTACAAATGAAATTTATTCAAAAACTGAGGATGACATAAATAACAGACAGAAAAAATGGGCAGCTGCTCTTCGAAGTGAAAATTCACATGCTGAATTGACGGTGTGACAAAATCAGTAACCTCAAACCATTATCAGTAAACTCCTCTAAAACTTTATTACTGACTCCATCGAATCTTTAGCACCAACTTCATCGCTTATCAAAATGAGTAACTCCATATATATGCATGTCCAGTAGCCTCATCAAGTTATCAGCATCACATTTTATGCACAGTCAATAACACCGTCAGTTTCAGTACCCCCAGATATGCATTGTCAGTAACTTCATTTAATCAGTCACAACATTAACAATGGAAGACTAGATTGTTGGGTGGGACCATTGAACACAAATTTTCAGAAATATATCACCAGACACCAACACCTAAATTTAAGCTTATGCACAAACATGGTTTATCAAGACCTGTTGACCTGTTGTGGATTGTATTTTAGGTGGAAAAAAAAAAAACATGTAAAAATGCGAAATGTGTGGGTAATCGTATGATACGTGTTACCGCCACATGCCTCAACTTTACAGAACCTTGGCAACTTAAAACAAATTGCGCTTATAATAAGCTTTTAGTGATTCCAATAACGTTAGTAAACTTATAATTTACTTATGTGGGAGTTACAAGCTGTAATTCTCTACTTTAATGAAGTCATGCAGAGGTGGGTATTTAGTAATTTGTTTCACTTTATTTCCAGATTCTGCTGTAACAAAGCTTTGTAAGCTCTTCTTGTATAAAGAGGTTTCCTCCCTCCTTTCATTTAATGAAAACAATAAGATAGCTCATTATGAGCTCTGCTTTTCACTCTCCTGATTATAAGAGGATTCATACCTAAATACCTATTATAATTGATAAATTTTAAATTATTTTTAAAAGGAAGTTGAAATCCTAATCCAAATACTGCATAATCGAATGGCCTTGATTTAGTCTATTGTAGTAGCAGTAGCTTTTCTTATGTGGTTGAATCCTTCCTCTACCCAAAATAAGAGCGAGAATTCTACAACAACTCAAGCTTAGAGGTTAACACACTCCAATTTAGCATTACATCAGACAAAGACAAACTTAACCATTACGGCCTTCCAAATAAGGGTTGACAGATGGCCAACTTATAGATTAGGAGCTTTGTAGGTAGCTATGAATAAGCAGCATGTGAAAGAGCCAGATGAATCATCAATCACTCATGAGGTCGATGAGGATTTTCACAAAGTTCCCCTAACCCCTTACTAATGAAGATCACTTCTAAAATGGAAGTTCCAAGAAGAGTCAAAGCCATAAGAGCATGGCAGTAATTATCAAACTTACAAATTAAGAATCATTTAACAATGTTCCAAAAGAGTTAAAAAGTTCAGAGTTTGTTTTGAAGCGTTCTAGCATTAAACAATTCAAATAAATATACTAAGTCAAAGAGAACGACACCTAAATAAGTTGATGAGAAACCTAAACTTTAGACCAGGACTCCTCTTTTCACACTGTAACTTAATGTTAGACCACATCTACATCAAATGTAAAACATTATAAATTCAGGTAATCAATTTACGAACAGCTAGATAACATCCTCCCTCTAGGAATAACATAGCTTGTAGCCATATTTCAATGAGTTCTACACAGCTGAGTCTACTATTTCTTTCTAGACTACTGTCTTTGAAAAGCCAAACTTGACAGCTGGAGAACTGATGATGACTTTGCCAATTCAGCTATATGCATCAAACTGAGCAAACTAGTGCTCTAATGCTTTCAGCAAAAACGATGATACCATGACACCAACCAACCACACCACAATCACAAGTCACCGGGTGATAACTCAATCATGTGTTACCAACCTAACACTACAGTTGCTAAATATGATAAAGAATTGAAGCTTTAGCACTAAGCAGAATTCTGAGTATCATACAAAAAGTAAAAACATAGCATAATGCTCTCACAAATCAACACTGTTCTAGCCAAAAGTAGAACTTAATGCATAAGAATAACAAAAGTTAAGTTAAAAGGAATACCTGAGATATGATGTAATCTGCCTGTTGTTTGGCATAGTAGCGTTCTGAAGGATGAAGCTTATCAATTATAGGTAACAACTCTGGGTCTGACAATGATCTGTAAGCAGAAATATGTCATGTTTTACCCTAAGGAATTATTACATGCCATAAATAGAGAGCCCTAAAAATAATAAAATCAGAGAGCTTAATCAACAGGAAGAGGAATCTGTAATACAAAGTATGTGGGAATGAAAAGAAGAGGAGTCCTGCACATATAAAAAATCCACAGAATTTTGAGATGTACCCATCACCATCTTTGTCAAGCTCGTTAAACAATTTCCTAGAAGCAGGAGTTTCAGTAGAATCATCTAAATGATGAGTAGAATTGTGCACATGCCCATCTTCTTCGTAGTTTCTCACCAAATCAAAAAGCCCATGGAAAAATTCGCTGAAGTTGACCTTGCCATCTTTATCTGTGTCCCTTTCCCTGCAAGTTAAAAAGGACACAAGAAGATCAGAAAGATCCTTGACCATCAAGCCACAAAATCCTATGGCAAATCTAGAACCAGTTAAAATGTTTCTTAAAATATAGACAAACACCACAACATATACACCATCAGACAAAAGTTACGAAACACACGATAGTCTTATTAAAATTATCAAGATAGGAACATTGTTGCAGCAATGTTCCCACTTCCCAGTCACATCAATGCTGTTCATTTAAACAAGATATTTGAAAGAATTTCTGAATTTACTGTGTTCTTAACTCACAGAATTCATAATAAGAAACTAGCATGCATCAATAAAAGATTCAAAGGCAATGAAGTACGTGACTCCAAAAGTGGCACTCAAATGAGGGGAAATGAATTTGAAATTGAATCATTGATTGGGTTAAGAGCCTGATTGAGGTAGACCAAAATTTTGGTTTACCTTTTAGAATGTACACAGATTTCATAGCAGAAACCCTTCCCCTTTGTCTAAAATGGAGAGGATCATCAACATTATATCACAGTACACATAACATACCCATTGCAGCTTCATAAATGGACAATCATTCAATAGAATTTTCTTGCAAACACGAGACAAAAAAGAATAGCCTATGCAACACACTAACTCAATGTAACAGTTTTAGGGAGAAATAAAGCAATAAAGAAGTAATATTTGAGAGAAGGAAGCAGTTGATTGATTAATGAAAGCTAAAAATGGAGTCTTGGATCTGAGTGACTTCAGGCCACCACTCTCTAGGGAGCACCTTTAGGGTACAAATCTCCTTAACGTAGGAATTACAAAATGACTGCCTACCCAACACACTCCCCCTTCCCCTTTCTTATATTTACACAACAAGCCAAGAATAGAAAGGACAAAAAGGCAGCTGTCACTGATTGTTAGGAAAATTCCCCTGCTCCTGCTGTGCTTGAGGTATTTGGTGTGCTTGTGTCAGTCCCCTCCTTCCCCTACGCTTGTAAGTGATCCATTCCTTGTGCTTGCTCTTCCCAGCATACCCAGCATTCGTTACACCTCCCCCTCCTTCAAAATTCACCTTGTCCTCAAGGTGAAATGTGGGAAACCTTTCGTGAATCACTGCCGCTTCTTCCCAGGTTGCTTCAATTAAAGGCAAGCCGTGCCACTTAATGAGCACCTCTAGAATGTCAGGGTTTCCCTTGGCAGCCCTTGAGTCCAGCACGCTCTCAGGTTCAGTCTTGAACTCCAGTTCTTCTGTCAGCTGCACAGGAATGGTAGGGCTGGCCACTTGCTCCCCTAAGGCTCGCTTAAGCTGAGACACATGAAACACAGGGTGAACCTTACAAGTCTCTGGCAGCTCGAGCTTGTAAGCCACCTGACCAACCCGCTGAATCACCTTGAAAGGCCCGTAGTAGCGCGGAGACAACTTCTCATTGGGCCTTCTTGCAAGGGATTTTTGTCGGTAGGGTTGAAGCTTTAAATAAACTAAGTCCCCAATCTGAAACTCTTCCTCCCTCCTCCTCAAATCCGCATGGTATTTCATCCTTTGCTGTGCTCGGACCAAATTCAAGTGTAGTTCGTCTAACACCCAATCTCTTTCTTGTAACCATTCCTCTAACTTATCCACTGGGGTCTGCCCTCTGCCCACCTTGATCAGCTTAGGTGGATCCCTCCCATACACTACCCGAAAAGGTGTAAAACCAATAGAAGCATGATAGGATGTGTTATAGGCGTATTCCGCCCAATGCAGCCACTTTCCCCATGACTTGGGCTTGCCATTAACAAAGCAACGCAAGTATGTTTCCAAGGTTTTGTTAACAACCTCGGTTTGCCCGTCGGTTTGGGGATGGTAAGCGGTGCTTCTCTTAAGGTCCGTACCTTGTAATCTAAACAGCTCCTTCCAAAATATGCTTAGAAATATACGATCCCTATCCGACACAATTGATGTGGGCATCCCATGTAAACGCACAACTTCCTTAGTGAACACTTCCGCAATTGTTAAAACACTATAAGGGTGCTTTAACCCGATGAAATGTGCGTACTTCGATAGCCTATCCACTACTACTAAGATCGAATCAACACCCTTTGAATTCGGAAGTCCCTCCACGAAGTCCATTGAGATATCCTCCCAAATGGTCTCGGGAATTGGTAAGGGCTGCAACAACCCAGCCGGTTGCAATTGAGAGTGTTTGGCTTGTTGGCAAATGGCACATTTTTTCATATACGCTGCTACCTCTTTTCGCATCCCCTTCCAATACCACTCGGCAGCCAACCTTAAATAAGTCTTCATCTCGCCCTGGTGCCCTCCCACCGGGCTGTCATGGTATTCTCTCAACAATTTAGAGATCATGGATGATCCCTTAGGAAGCACTACTCTCCCCTTGAAGAGTAATCTCCCTCCCTCGAGTGAAAATCCTCCTTGTGGCTCTTGCCCGGCTGACAGCTCTGCCATTAATTTACCAAGGTCCAAATCAGCCTTTACTTCTTTTTCCACCTCCCCCCAATCAATTCCCGAGGTAGTGACCATGGCTGTAAGTTCCTCCAGTCTTTCTCCCTTCCGTGACAAGGCATCTGCTACTCGGTTACTCGCCCCGGGTTTGAATTGAATTTCGAAATCAAACCCTAATAATTTTCGAACCCATTTCTGATAGTCGCCGCCCACCTCCCTTTGCTCCATGATATACTTTAAACTTTGTTGGTCGGTTCGCACCACAAAGCGGCGCCCGAGCAAATAATGCCGCCACTTAACCACGGCCAAACAAATGGCCATTAGTTCTTTCTCATAGATGGCCTAAGCTTGTGATTTCGGGCCTAACAACTTACTGTAGAAAACCACAGGCCGAGAGTCTTGCATTAATACCGCACCTAGCCCATAGCCGGAAGCATCGGCCTCCCCTATGAACATCCTACTGAAATTAGGCATGGTGAGTACAGGGGCAGAAGTCATGGCTCCCTTCAGCCTCTCAAAAGCTGTCGTGGCCTCCATTGACCACCCAAAATTATCCTTGCGTAGCTGCTCGGTCAGGGGCCTTGCTATCTGAGCATAGCCTTTGATAAATTTTCGATAATACCCCGTCAACCCGAGAAAGCCCCGCAACTCCTTCAACGTCCGAGGAATAGGCCATTCCACCATCGCCCTAACCTTTTCTAAGTCTACTGCCACTCCTTCCTTCGACACAATGTGCCCCAAATATGCTACTCTCTGTTGGCCGAACTCACATTTCTTGAAATTTGCCACCAATTGATGCTCCTCCAATGTGGAGAGCACTTTCTTCATATGCCCCAAATGACTCTCCTTATCGGGGCTGTAAATTAGAATATCATCGAAAAACACGAGCACAAACTTTCTCAAGAACGGTCTAAACACCTCATTCATAAGTGCTTGAAATGTGGCCGGTGCGTTAGTAAGCCCGAAGGGCATTACTAGAAACTCGTAGTGCCCTTCGTGGGTCCTAAAAGTTGTCTTGTGTGTGTCCTCCTCCCGTACCAAAATCTGGTGATATCCCGACTTAAGGTCGAGTTTCGAGAAAATAGCAGCCCCGTGAAGCTCATCGAGCAATTCCTCGATTATAGGGATGGGGTATTTGTCGGGTATTGTCTCTCGGTTTAGAGCACGGTAATCCACACAAAATCTCCATGAATTATCCTTCTTTTTAACCAACAAAACAGGCTGGAAAATGGACTAACCGACGGTTTGATTCTTCCCGCCTCAAGCATCTCCTTGATTAATCTCTCAATTTCATCTTTCTGAAATTGGGGGTATCGATACGGCCTCACACTCACCGGATTGCTGCCTTCTTTCAATATTATAGCGTGCTCATGCCCCCGTTTTGGTGGCAATCCTTTCGGAGCTACGAAAATTTTCTGTCAATAATTTCTGCCAGCCACCCTAGCACCGCCGCGCATCCCACCTCAGCCCCGGCCGCAGCCACCTCCACACAGTTGATTTCCAACCACAACCCTCCTCCTTCGTGTTGCAGGGTGCGGAGCATAGCTTTGAGGGAGATCTTAGTTCGTTCCAAGGCCGGATTTCCCCTCAAAATTATCTTTTCCTCTCCCACCATGAAGCTCATAATATGAGTCTTCCAGTTATGCACAACCGGACCCAATTTCTCCAGCCACTCGATCCCCAAGATTAAGTCAGCATTCCCCAAACGTAGTGGTAAGAAATTCTCCACCACTACGTAGCCTTCACGTAAAACGACTCTAACTCCTCGGCACCTCCCTCTTCCCCATATGACATCGCCACTTCCAAGAGACACACTAAATTCTCGAGCACCATCCACGGGCACCCCCACTTCCGCCACCAACCCTTCCGAAATGAAATTATGGGTGGCTCCCAGATCTACTAAAATCACCACCGATTTGGGTCCCACCTTGCCTTCGAGTTTCATGGTGCATGGACTAGAAAGGCCCACGAGAGAGAAACTCCTGGTGTTAGCTCTTCGTCGCTAGAGCCGCCATCGGGTGGCTTGGAGGGTCCAACGTCTTCGTTGTTCGCGCCGCCGAGGAGCAGCACGCTCATCTCCTGGTTCTTACACCGGTGGCTGGCACTCCATCTCTCGTCGCAGCGAAAGCAGAGGCTTTTAGCCTTCCGCTCTTGGTGCTCAGCGTCCGTCAACCTCCGTGGCTCAGTTGTTTTCATCGAAGAGGAGCTGGTGGGTTTGGGAAAGTTAACAGATGCTTGGGATTCAGATGGAGCATTAGGCCATCCCTTGAAAGAGGCTGTGCTTTGGGTCGGAGTGCCATATGTGCTGATCCCAGTTGAAGTCGGCCCATTTGCAAACTTAAGCCCACTTTGGGCTCCAGTGGTCTTGCCCGATCCAAGAAACCCGGACCCCCTTCTATACCCCCTTCTATACCCACTTACCCGGTTCCTTTCTTCGACCCGACCCGCAATCTCCATGGCTTGCTCCAGATTAAACGGGTTCAAGATCCTTACTTCAGCCTTAATCTCCTCCTTTAGACCTTGAATAAAATGGCCCATCATTAGTGTTTCAGGTATGTCCTCTAGAGGAGCAGAAAGTTCGATGAATCTTTTGCGTTACTCGAGGACGGTGGTCTCCAGGGTTGCCGCCAACCACTGTTCGTGGAGGCTTCCGGCGTGGGTCTGCCGGAACTGGCGTAAGACGCGGACTTTCACGTTCTCCTAGCTTGGTATGGGTTGACGTCTATTCTCCCATTCACCTCAACGCGTCGCCTTCCATGGCGGAGATGGCGGATTGCAACTTCTGGTCCTCAGTGAGTTGGTAGTGTTGGAAGTACTTTTCCGCCTTTAATATCCACCCATCAAGGTCCGTACCTTCGAAAAGGGGTAAGTCCAACTTCCTTGGCTTCCAGCGGTGGTCGCCGCCACCATTTGAGTCATTGAAGTTGCGCATCCCAAAGTTGCTACCTTGCGCATCCCAAGGTTGCGCAACTCCTCAAAAAATTGAGCTTGGGTGGTTGTATTCACCGTCATTTGAGCCTCCTGCTGTTGCCAGAATAGCTCAAAACGGTGGTCCAGCCGTTGAACCGCATCCTCCATCGACTTCTTCAGGATGTCCTCCTAAGTCTTCATGGCCGCCTCTAGGGCTCCCAGCTGATTTTGAACTCCGATCATCTGCTCTTCCAAGGTGTCACACCTTTGAGTCGCAGAGATAACCATGTTTTTTTTTTTTTTTTGGTAATAGGAGTTGGTGCAGTGGTTGGTGGTTTCCGGCTCCGGTGGTCGCAAGACCGCCGCTCTGATACCACTTGCAACACACTAACTCAATGTAACAGTTTTAGGGAGAAATAAAGCAATAAAGAAGTAATATTTGAGAGAAGGAAGCAGTTGATTGATTAATGAAAGCTAAAAATGGAGTCTTGGATCTGAGTGACTTCAGGCCACCACTCTCTAGGGAGCACCTTTAGGGTACAAATCTCCTTAACCTAGGAATTACAAAATGACTGCCTACCCAACACACTCCCCCTTCCCCTTTCTTATATTTACACAACAAGCCAAGAATAGAAAGGACAAAAAGGCAGCTGTCACTGATTGTTAGGAAAATTCCCCTGCTCCTGCTGTGCTTGAGGTATTTGGTGTGCTTGTGTCAGTCCCCTCCTTCCCCTACGTTTGTAAGTGATCCATTCCTTGTGCTTGCTCTTCCCAGCACACCTAGCATTCGTTACAGCCTATTTCCGAAAAGATTCATTAAACATACAACGGAACCAACTTCGTAAACTGGTAATATTGTTGCAAGACACCCTATCAGTGAACGGTATAGACTTAGTGCAGCCCATTGCAGCATGGACAAACTTCAGAAATACTCCGTGGGAAACATGCGAAAAGTTTTGAAGAAACTCAAAAGAACATAAAAGATAAGACAAAAATATGATAAAAGGATGTCTTCCAGTTTGAATAGAGAAAACTATTCAACATACCGTATTTCCTCTTTGCACAGCCACTGGAGTAACTTTGGGTTCTTTGTATCAGCAGGATGCAAGAAGCTATCAATTACAAAGAGAATAGATTAGGAAATATATGAAAAACCAGTAGCACCCAACGACACAAGTGAGAATTTTAGACAGATGTAACAATGGAGCTTACTCCTTGAACTCTGTAATATTTAAAAGACCATCTCCATTTATGTCAGAAGCATTGAAGTGATCCTCTCTCCACCAACCCATTTCGTATCCAAAGGTATTATTATCTGCAAAATTAGATGTTATTCAGTAATTAAGGCAAAGTTTATATTAAATATGATAGCAGTTTAACACTAGCACCTGGATAATTGGCAAAATATGATACTCTGTAAAATATCAAGATTCTGAATGGAATTCAAATTGTGGATATAGAAAAGATCGAACCAAATAAACAATTGAAACTTGGTACTAACATCCTTTTCCCATTAAAATATCAACCCAGTAACATCAAACAACAATGTGAAATGTGAATTTTTCTGGCAAGCACAACCAACATTCATGCCCCTAGGCATAAGTGGGTTTAGAATGTGCAACGGACTAGCGTGATTCAACACAGATTAGGCCAAAAGGTTGAATGATTGATTGATAAAGCTCAAAGCTTGCGAATGATAAACATGGCTTTAGGCCATTACTCTCCAAGTGTTTCCTTACAATTTTCTGAATACCCTCCCAAATGCTAGACCAACACTACTTATACTAACAATACAAGCATCAATATGGCAATCAAGCCTTAATTACTACAAGTACTACCATCTTGGCATTTAACTACTTTAGTCTATATTACAGACAAAAGGTAAAAGCATCTTGTCCCCTGTGTTTTTCTAACGGATTTCTGCCTCACTTGCATCTGCTGCTGGTAAAGTGCTGTTCTGCCTCTTCTGTCTTCTGCTGTACACCATAGTCACGGGTGGTGGTAGAGGAGGCATTGCAGAATGTAAAGCACAAATATATCAATCAACTCACTCAATGGATAAATAAAGCCCCCACAACCCTAACAAACCTTACAACTCATGGCAACACTAAGTAACTCTGAAGAATGGCCTACAGCAATTGATTTTAATGGTTTAGTACATACACTTGATGATTTTAGGCACATTAACAGATATTAATCAAGACTTGGGGGGAAAAAAATGAAAACGTGTGCAGAGATTAGCGTTATTGATGACTATAAAAGGATCACAAAACACTGTAATTCTTTGCACGTCTTGTTAGAAAGACTGATCAATGGGGTCCAAGAGCTATATGTATCCAGCAGTCAAAAAAGTATCAATTGCAAACAAATCTGAGATAAATCTAAGCACAATATCAACTTTTGGCTATGTTCATTAAGCAGCAATTACTGAGTTATGCAAGAAACTTGCTCAATTAGGCAATTTGATGGTGTGACTATCTCATTTTCATTAAGGGGTCCATTATCAATTTACCATATCAGTGTACCAAGATAAACCAATACTTTTACCAATAGGAGTCAGCGCAACAAAAACTTCAAAATGTGAGTAAAGAATATTTAACATATACAAACCCCTCCCTCCACCAACCCATTTCATATCCAAAGGTATTATTATCTGCAGATTTAGATGTCATTCAGTAATTAAGGCAAGATTGTAGTATTATACAAGTAGTAGGTATGGACGTAATGTAGGCTGGTAGCAGTATAGCACTAGCGCATGGATGAATGGCAAAATATGTGAAATGGGAGTAATACTCCATAAAATATCAAGATTCAGATATTCTGAATGGAAATCAATTGTGGAGATTGCAAGATCAAACCATATAAACAATTGAAATGCAGTACCAACTCCCATATTCCAGTTAATATATCAACCCAGTCAAATCAAACAACAATATGAAATGTGAATTTGGCTGGCAAGCAGAGCCAACATTCATGCCCCTAAGCATAAGTAGGTTCAGAACGTAAACACAAGTACATCAACCAACACCCTCGATGAGTAAGTTAAGCTCCCAAAACCCTAAAAACCATTACAAGATTTACAACTCATGACAGCACTAACTCAGTAACAAATTAACAACTACAGCAATTAAATTCAATAATTTGGTAAGCACACTTTATGATATACGAGGCACATTAACAGATATTGATAAAGTGTAATATAGATTGAAACAGATACAGTATTGATGATTAGAAAAGGACTACAAAGGATCACAAAAAATTACTTTTCTTTGTACATGTTGTTAGAAACACCGAGTCACCGAGCAATGGGGTTCAATGGTTATATGTTTACAGCAGTCATAGAAGTATCTATTGGAAACAAATCTGAGATAAATCACCAGCAAAATATCAACTTTTAGCTATGTTCATCAAGCAGCAACTACTTTGCTATGCAAGATTCTTGCTCAATTAGGTTATTTAATGGTGTGACTATCTCATTTTCATTAAGGGGTCCATTATAAATTTACCATAGCAGCATACCAAGATAAACCAATATTTTTTTACCAATGGGAGTCGTCAGTGCATTGAAAACTTAAATTGTGAGTAAAGAAGATTTTACATATACAAACCCCTCCCTCTTTTCTTTTCCCCTGAGAAAGCTCTAATTTCAAACTCTTTAAAGATACATTTCCTTGATAAGCAGGGGACTTTCATTATTAAAAGATTATCCAATAACATAACTGTCAAACTCACAAAAACCAAACTAGATTCAGGATTCACCTGCCCAGCATCTAAAAATCAGACCTTTACTGGAAACAGAAACTATAACTTCCTAGCCATCAAATAGCAATAATATCCATCAAGAACAATATAATTGAAACAAGAGAAGCAAACCAAAATGTTCTCTGTTAACCCACCAAGACTAAAGCAAATTACTCAAGTCATACCTTGAAAGCTGCATTATCTTAGAGACCTTGCCAAACCCTAGACCACACTATTCAAAAATTGTATCTTATTTTCAAAATTACTGAAAACTACCAAACCCTAGACCACACCATTCCAAAAAAAAAATGTTGCATCAAAGACAAATCAATCACATAATTCAGCATCTTCAATATCAAACATAAGCCACCAAGAACCCAAAACAAGTCCTGCACTTGAAAAAAAACCATAGTACATTATAAACCCTAATCAATTTCAGTAAATCCAGCCAAATGTGATCAACCCATCCTAAACACTACCACCACCAGTACACCACACACCCACCAGCCTCTTTGAAGCCGATACGAACCGAAACATTCTTGGTTCAATTTCAACATACATTACAGATTCACAAAAACAAATTCAACATAAAAACCAATCAAAAACATAAAAATTGGAAAGAAAGTAAACCTGCAGATTTAACCCAACTAGGAGACTCATACTCAGAAAACGAAACAAACCCATCACGATTCTTATCATGTAACTCCATCTCCCTTTGAGTCCTATGATAAACCTCCGTCTCAGCCTGTCGCAAATTCCACTCAGTCAGCTCATTTTCCGAGGCAAACCCATCAATGGGGTCCACATCAATCTTCGGAAACAACACCAACAATCTACTAGTCACATTAAATCTCTCTTCATCATTCAAATACTCTTCAGCATCCATGAAATCCTCCCACTCCGGCTGCTGCTCATACCCTGGAGCGTGATGTTCTTCGACACGGCCGTGTTGATGATGATCACTCTCTCTCTCCTCCCCGTGCCGGGAAAGTCCGGCGATCTCCTGGTGGTGCTCCTCGAAGTACATCCGCTCCCACTCCTTGTCCTCGCGGTGGCGCTCCATCTCCGCAACCACCGGATCGAACGCAACTGGGTCATGGTGATGGTGGCGGAATTCGAAGTGTGGGTCAGGGTGTTCAAGGTGGTCTTGCGATGTGAAGGTGAAGTTTGACCGGAGTTTGAGACGACGATGGTTGGTACGGCGGTGATTGCGGTGGGTGTCAGGGTGGCCGTGTGAGTCGTCACGGGTTGGAGAACGGGAGAGGAAGAGGAGGAGAGAGATTCCTATGATAATGTAGAGAATTATAGATAGTTTCACCATTGCTGGGAAAGAGGAGAGAGAATGGAGTTGACAATGTGGACTGATTGAGATAAAAATGGAGGAGAGAGAGAGAGGGAGCGAGAAATGGTGTAACACGGGGTAGCCGTGCAGATTGATTGATTGTTGCTGAAGATTGAAGGCAAATCTTGAAGTTTGCTGGGGATTTTGTACGTACTAAACTAGTAGTGTCCTGAATTCCTCCTACTAATCTTTGGACTTGCATTTAATTTAATCACAAATTTTGGTTTCTTAATTGTTTAATTAAGGTGGAAGATAAATGACAAGCTTGGGTTGGGTCAATTTCTTAACTCATGTGATGTTAACTGGTTATACTTGTTTCAAAAGCCCATTTTAGGTCATTCTTGTCAATATAAATTAACGATAAGTCCATGACCAAATACGTACTTTGATACTTTGGTTTGAGCAATAGAGGACTAAGGACTAAGAGCCCAAGTTTAAAGAATAATTACAATGGTCTTATTTGGCAATTTGCTATTGGATGTTGGTTGTTTTTCTTAGCTGGTCTGATTAGCTGTTTGTAGACCTGTTAGTTCGGGTCAACAGGTCAGGTTTGAGTCAAATTTTGGATTATTTGGGTCATTTGATTCAAGTGGTTTGGATTGCTTGGGTCATTACAAATTATGATAATTGGGTCATTTGGGTCGGGATCGGGATTTGGTTCTCTCTCAATAAAACGAGTTTGGAACCAGATCTGGTCTAGTTGTTTGTATTGGCTTTTTATATTGGTTATTTGACCATTGACTTTTAATAAATATGTTTGGTAAATATGATAAAATTGGGTTGGGCTGGCGCTCAAGTTAGTCGAGCCCATCTTGACCGGGCCTAGCTATTTGCTTATACTTGTTCATAACTCATTTTTTGTCATCTTTGTTATTGTATAGCTATTGTATGCACCAATTACAATAACTAATGTATAAGTATTGTGGAAAGTCTTATATTGCAGGGCTGGGTCATCTTACCACGAAGTTGAGTATCTACTAGACTACTACTCTATATTAAAAACTAAGGGCTCGTTTAACATTGTTGTTGTTTTCTATTTTTTTAGTTTTTTTTTTTTCAAAATCATATAATAGATGTCATATATTGAATAAAAAAAATCAAATTTATTCAAATCATAATAATTTGAAAACTGATAACAGAAAAATGGAAACACCTTTTTCTTGTTTCCTGTTTTTAGTTTTTGGTTTTCAAAAAACTGACAAATGAAAATAAAAAACGATGTCAAACAAACCCTAAACATTCAAATTAAATAATGAAAATCATGTAGAAATGAGAAAAACCCATTTTGTAAACTCTTTATGTAGCTTTAAATCTGTCTCAGAGTTCTCAACTCCCCCCTTGGTTAATGTTTGTAAATAATGATCATCATTTTAGTTTCTTAAGTTACCATGCATGAATTCTAGAAAATAATGGGTTCATCGTCGCAGATTATATGTACAACGTATATGTGATGTGGCAGCTTGTGAAAACCTTATTAAGGATTACAACAATGGTGTTTAATTTTAGTTTTATTGGTGCATAAAAAGTATAATCTAATTATCTAAGGAATATTAATTTTACCCTTGACAAATCTATTTTTTATTTTTATAATTATTTTATAAAAGTCAGTTTTTGATGAAATCTAAAATATAACATTAAATTAAAAGAATTAAATCCAAAATAGTGTTCTTCAATAAAAATCAAGATGTTGTTATTCAATGCCCTCTATAGTATATTTGTTCAAAAAAAATGTCTATATTATACCAGTTGTTAGAGTTTGTAACTTTTACACTGTATCATAGGTCATTCGACTCACCACTACTACCTCAATATGGGGAAAGGATTCAGAGGAATTCCACTGTTATTAGTTTGCCACTCCCAAAAGCTTTAGTGTTTAACTATAATGAGTATTCTATGATAAAATATTATACTATATTTGTTTCAATCCAAAAATGATTGAAATCATGCTCAACTTATTTTCGAGATTTAGAAAAGAATAATGATACCTATAAATAAGTACATCAATTGGTAACACATATAGTATTGGATTTTCAATTAAAATATTATACTATATTTGTTTCAATCCAAAAATGATTGAAATCATGCTCAACTTATTATATATATATATATATTTATATATATATATATATATATATATATATATATATATATATATATATATATATATATATATATATATCTTAATTTCCCCATTCCCGATAAAAGAAAAGAGGAAGGAAATATGAAACCAATTAGTACATTAATTAATCAATAATTACACTAACAATTAGTTAGGATTATTGGTATTTGATTTTGGTTTATGAGTAGCAAGGAACAAGTTGTTGATCTTGATAGTGGAGATGACCATTAGAGCAAGGATAATTATCATAGAAACAATTGATAAGGCAAGTGCTAGTGTTTGTGCTGCGCCATCTTTCACCTCTTGAGCGTACTTGACGGATGCCAAAGCCAGTGTTGTCAATGGCAGTGAAAAAGACCACCATGCTATACTAAACTTCCTTAGTGATTTCTTGAATAATGTTGGCCTACATACCTGCAACATTAGCAAACACCGGTCAGCAATAAATCAACTACAAACACGTCTACATATACTCTTATATACGGATTGGACAGTGTAATTTATTGAGTCAGATCCTCTATTCAACATCAATATTCATTTGTACTGATAAAATCGTAAATTAAAGTCTTACAATTCATATATTTTTTAACTACGAAGTAATAATGAAGAAATAAAATAAATGTTATCATGTAAAAGGTTGTTGGATTATAGAGTATTTTCTTGCTAAACACGTGTTTGTCGGTGAGATAGAAATCTACATACTATTAGTACCACTAAGAGGTGTGGTGGAACAAGTACGTACTCTACGGTGACTCAAAGGGCAATTTTAAAGTAGAAAAGATAGGAAAAATAGTGCATACTTACCAAGGACATGAAGAGAAACATGGAGAGAAAGAAGAGCATCTTCGATACAACATCAAAGGTCCCGACAACTGAGAACCATGCTATGCTAGCCATACTTGGAGTCGCGATGAACAAGAAGAAAACCGGCCTTAGTGACGGCGAAACAATATTGCTCCCTGGATGTCTTTGATATAGAGTGACAAACAACACCAAGTAGTGAGCCATGCTCAATGCAAAGAAGCACAACGCCATCTCCGACCATCCCATATACATAGCTTCCTTTGTTGCTACCAAATTTGCTATAACGGATAGTTGACAAGCCGGGTTAGCCACCTTGGTTAGCACTCGTTTCCCCTTAATAAACCATTGCCCGTATAACTTGATATCGAGCATAATTATAGGTACTACAAACATCCACCAAGTTAATTGTTGGCAAATACTACCATCAGAAACGACAAGCATAGGCGAAGTTTGAAGCAATAACAGGCTTGACATCCAAGGAGCAAACAAATAGTTGACCCCTACATGGTGCAAAAACTCATCCTTCACCTTGTCAAAGTGATAATAACACCTTAACGTGTAGAGAATAGACAACGAGATCAAAACGAGTAAGGCCGTCGACCATAATAAATGAGTGGCCGTCGATGGGAAGGACAAGAGCATAGGGTGAAATTGACGAGCATGGTTGTCTTTGGTGATTTGGACTAGGTTTTTCCATAATAACACTTGAGCACATAAGGCAAGGCTTATTCTAAAAAACCCTGCATGAAAATTTGCTAATATGGAATACACGAAATGATCGTAAAAACCCACAACAACCATCTTATGGTCGTTATTACTCATGGGTGCATCGTCGATAACAACTTCTATGCCTGCTTTATTAGCACCTAATTTTGAATCCATTTTTTTTTCTAACTATATACTAGTATGTATGTATGTAGGGATGATTATATTGGATGAATGAATGGATTGATCGATCGAGCTAGCTTAGTTTAATTTGTAACTAATGAGATGCATGCAATGTATTGATTTGTAATGAGGATATGTAAGTTAAGGATTTGGTATAAATAGGGAAGTGTTTAGGATATGCAAGTTAAGGAAACTACATGTATTTGGTGCTTCTTATATAGGAGTGCAAGATCACGTACACCAAATAAATAACACTATCTAGAAGTGCAGGGTACATGTTGCTCTACAACTAAGCCAAGATAGGCTACTAAATCATAAACCCTAAAGTCCACTACCAAAAAGTCGATTTCAGGACTTTTAACAAGAAAATGTGTATTAACACAATTTCTTAATTTTCTATTTTAATATAGTATGCACCGTCCAATAATCCCATCACTAGTTTCTACACGAGATTTTACTAGAGTTTGTTTGAGAAAAGGGAGTGTAAAATAACATCGATCTTATATAACAGTAAAATTTGAGCATTAATGAGATATGCAAAGTAGTATTATCTCTTTCATATAAGTCAATGGTCGGCCGGGGTGAGATAGTGGTCTCCAAGTGAAATATCAAGAATTCCTTTTTTCACTTTTTTTGTAAAAATGGTTTGTGTACACTTCCTCTAGTCTTTTTTATTTGATGACTTAGTTTGACTTTGCCACAATCACTAACTCTCTTTGATTGTTTTTGTGATTTACGAGTATACGTAAGGAAAAATATCGTCATGCAGATCTTCTTAGAATTGACTAAAAACGGACATTGCATAGTAGGTGCAACAAATGTTTTCTTTCCTTTTGAAGTTATCATCTCCCTCTACCTCTATTCTCATCACATGCATCTCCATCTTTCTCTCTTCATTTAGCACTCAAACAATTTTTGTCTAGAAGTCCTTGTCAAGGTATTTGTTTCACATATATAATTTATATGAAATAGAGGCGGTATTTTAATTTTTAATAATTGAAAATTAAAGACATTGATAGTTTAAGCTAAGCATGGACAAACGGGAAATAGGTCAGTGAAAAAAACTGAATGAAGTATTTTGTATTAATTTAGAAATCTAAAGCATGCTTTGTGAGCACATATAATGAACGTAATTATTAACCTATGGATAATGATACAAACTCTATATGGGAAATACACTTAGAGAATGATGTGTCCAAGGTTTTTGTATTTTATTAATTTATCTTTCAAGGTACTCATTTTATCATTACTGTTGTTTAGAATTCTCAGCCTCCAATTATACACTTAATTAACTTTAAACATACCCAAAAATAAGATGACGATGTTAATAATTCTCGTTAAATATATAATAAGTTTATGAAATAAGAGGAAGAATATAT